CTGGTGTTAGCGAGACCATACGCGATGAGAGTGGGCAGCCGATCCACAACCTGTCAAAACGCTTGGAGCGTTGGGCTGAACACTTTGCTATACAATTTAACTAACCTGAGTTATCGCTTTCTTCTTCGGGCATTGAGCGCCCGTCTCCTTGGATCCGCCCTCACGCGCAGAAGTCGAACGTGAGATCAGGCTGTTGAAATTGCATAAGGCCCCAGGAGGAGATAGAATTCCTCCAGCCCTCTTCAAATTCGGTGGACCTGCTCTAGTAGATGATCTACACGAGTTGCTAGTAAAACTTTGGGAGCAGGAGACAGTCCCGACAGACTGGAACCGTTCCGTCATTGTCCCAATTTTCAAGGGAGGCTCCCGTTTAGAATGCGGCAACCACAGAGGGATCAGTCTGATTTCGATTGCCTCTAAATTGCTTGCCTCTCTCATTCTCCACAGACTGACTGGCACTCGTGAAAGCCAGATTCGTGAAGAGCAAGCCGGATTTCGTCGAGGTCGGGGCTGCATCGACCACATCTTCACATTGCGTCAAGTGTTGGAGCACCGCCATCTTTATTGGCGACTTACCGTTGTCGTGTTTCTTGACACAAAAGGTGCCTTCGACTCAGTCGATCGATGTGCCCTTTGGGACTGTCTGCTGAGGAAAGGTGTGCCTGATAAGTATGTAAACATTATCAAAGCGCTGTACGCACATAGTTCGGGCAGGGTGAGGGTTTATGGCAAACTCTCGCCACCCTTCAGTATCACCAGCGGTGTGAGACAAGGATGCCCGCTGTCACCTTTCCTCTTCAACTTCGCTATTGATGAAGTCATAGAAACAGCGTTCGCTGGACACGACATAGAAGGTGTGGAGCTACTCCCTGGTGAGTGACTTCTTGACTTGGAGTATACGGACGACATTGCCCTAATCTGTGACAGCTCCCAAACATGCCAAACAGCACTGAACCGATTAGCACTGGCTGTCAATCGTTTTGGGCTATGCTTTGCTCCATAAATTGCAAAGTACTTCTCCAAGATTGGCAGGGACCCAACCCTGCGCTAACGCTTGGTGGTGATCTGCTAGAAGTCGTTCAGGAATTCAAGTACCTGGGCAGCTATATTAGCACCCGTGGGATTGAAGATGAGGTTACAAACCGTATAGCAAAAGCTCGAGGTGCGTTTACCAATCTCCGCCGTTTCTGGTGCCGGCGTGACATCACTCTCGCTTTGAAGGGCAGAGTTTACAACGCAGTCGTCCGTTCAACTCTCCTATATGGCTGTGAAACCTGGCCCATCAGGTCGACAGACATGAAGAGACTCGTCACATTCGATCATCGCTGCCTTCGCAGCTTAGCTCATGTCTGGTGGGAGCACCGCGTGAGCAATGAGCGGGTTCGGCGTCGCGTATTTGGTGCAGGAAGAGCGAGTGAACCGCTCAGCACCATTATATCACGCACCAAGCTCCGATGGCTGGGCCACGTGTTGCGCATGCCAGCACACCGACTCCCGCGACGTGCATTGTTTGCGCGTTGTGGGTGCGGTTGGAAGAGGAGGAGGGGAGGCCAAGTGATGACTTGGTCGAGAGAAATGAAAACCCTCACTTCGAAGTTGGCGTCGGTTGGTGCATCCCGACTGCCTGGCTGGTGTCCTAAGGACGGTGAACACGTTTGGTTAGACACACTTGCTGATATGGCTAGGAGCCGGCCCCAGTGGCGTTTGTGTTGTGAGTTCATTTGTCCATCCCCCTCCTGTTTAGCATCCCCCTCCAATCACGATCTCAATCGTTAGGCATAATATGACTTTCTTTTAAGGAAGCCAGCTGTTAGCTCTCCGGAACGATGTCCATCCGTTACTGGGGACTCAGCGGGCGTGCCACTATTTGTTTTTTTCTTTTCATGCCTTTTTTATTGCGGCACAATAGCTGAGGTGTTTTCCACCTCCAGCTCACGTGTAATGATGATGATGATGATGATGATGATCGATCAACCGAATCGAAGGCACATTTGATGTCGAGGAACGCGACAACGGTGGGCTGCCAATATGTGTGACGGTGCTCCAACAATTGACGCAAAGTGAAGATGTGGTCGATGCGGCCACAAACCCCGACCAAAACCGGCATGCTCCTCACGAACCTGGCTTTCACGAGTGCCAGTCAGTCTGTGAAAGATTACAGAGGCAAGTAATTTGGAGGCGATGGAGAGCAGATTGATTCTTCTGTTTTTGCCGCATTCCGAACGCGAGCCTCCTTTGAAGATAACATCAATAACGGAGCGGCTCCAGTGGGTTCGGACAGTTTCCTGCTCCCACAGTTTCACTAGTAATTCGTATAAATCATCAATAATAGCAGGGACCCCGTATTTGAAGACGGCTGGATGAAGATCATCTGGTCCCGCGACTTTGTTCAACCTCAACAGTCCGATCTCACGTTTGACTTCCGAGCGAGAGGGCGGATCCAAAGGCAGCCCAGGGAGCAGGACGAGCACTGGCCGGTGAGGAATCGAACAATTCCGGCCGATTAAATTGCTTTTCAAAATGCTCAGCCCAACGCTCCAAACGTTTTGACAAATTGTGGATAGTTTGTACACTCTCGTCATAAAGTGTTTCATTAACATCAGATCTCCTGCTGCCCGTTACCCGTATCAGATGGAATAACTTTCGATGGTTACCAAGGGCAGCGGCCACATCCATCTCTGACACACGAAGAGACCACCAAGATTCGAGGTCTCTCTTCAGGCTAGCACGGACTTTTGCCCGGAGCTCTGTGCGAGTTTCACTGTGTTCGCTTCCAGTTAAAATATGCCGGCGAGCATCGATAAGTGCCAGAGACCGTGAAGAGACCCAATGTCCATGTTGGCTATTAGACTTACCATGAGGTTTTGTTTGATGCTAGTAAGGTCTGGTGAACATGCGACCAGTGAGCTACAATCATCTCGAGTGAGCGCTTACTCAACCCGCATGTCAGCGTATTTTGATACGCATTCATAACAGCTGGCTTTGTCAGTTGACTGGGGTCAATGTTCTTACAGCGTCATCGTGGGCATCCGCCGAAACGCATCCGCAGGTCAGCACATACCAGTGCATGGGCGGTGTCCACGCATTTGCTTCAAACCATGAGACAGTCTTGGACGCAGCCTCTCCATCGGTTACTGATCACAATGTGATCGATTTGCGTCAAAGGCTGGTTCGAGGCTGGTGGGCGCTGTGCCGGAAGTTAGTGCTCGCGAAAAATAAGCAAGCATTTTTACACAAACGAAGTGACCGCTCACCGTTAGCATTACGGGAGCGTACATCGCGTCGACCGCCCAGATACAGTTATTTAGGGGACAACATTCCAACTTGTGCGTTCAGATCCCCGCCAGCAACACGGTGTCCGTGCCTCTTCTGTGACGAAGGAGCCCAGTCGGTTGGTGGTAGAAGTCGCTTTATGCTTAGGGCGTTAAGGTTTTAAGGTAAGTACCCCCTTTCTCTCCCACTTATTATTCTTTATTTCACAGGTCATTATGGTTGTATGGCAGCGAAGCATCAGTTCAAATGGCTGATGTACTGCTGTTGTTGTGGTCGTTTAGAAGTCGCTTTTCACCAAACCATCGCTAGAGTTTGTGGGCGCGTAGACAACGATGATGAATAGACACCCATTTGTCTCGCGCGACTTCAAAGCTCTGAACGATCCAGCCAATCGGACCGCACAAAACCGGCTACCGATTGGGATCAGATCAACCACAGCAGCTTCAGACAGGGGAATCAGGACAATACCAACACCAGATTGGCCGGTATTCGAAGCTGCATCATCACCGAATAAGCGCAAAGGGAAAATACTGCTGGGTGTCACCTGAACGGGATCGCGGAGTGAGCACAGAGCTCGAGTCTTGCAGGCGGGTCTCGGGTTTACACTGGTTCTTTTAAAGTCCGCAATGTAGTGAAGTTGAAACATTTACTCTCGACAGTTTGCAATAGCAGATTTTGTTAGCTATTCCGTCTTGAGACCGACAACTTGTTTTGTCGACTGTGAAACACCTTCACTTGATTCTGTCAAGTGAAGTACGTGCCACACTGCGCCCGACTCTTGCTGATTTGCTCCTCATTCATTGTAGCTATTCGCAATACACGGTTGATCTAGTTGCCTAACTCTACTACGACATCCGGTAGTTGACACGTTTTGCATGTCAATAAGTCACCCTACAGCACTATATGAAGGCCCGATTAGTAGATAAGTTAGGATTGGTTAAAGAGCTGCCGACTTTAAACATCTACATTGGGATCAGCAGATGTTCAATACGGGAAAGTGTATAGCAAAAGTTGTTTGATGGTCGATCTGATATGTAGCGCGAGTGGGTAAAGAACGCTGATTCATCAAGCAATCATCCTACAGGTACGTGTACAGTATTTGAAGCGTGGGATAGTCGAACACAAATGGATGAATGATTTGCAACGAGGGACACAGGGAGAGAGAAAACCGACAAAAGGTTTGCTGAAAGGAAATTGTAAATCTGAAAGTGCCGTAAGATGGATAAAAATCGCAACCGAATGCTATTGTGGTGGATTAATGCATTTAGCGTACACTTTATATTGCATCTAGAAGCTCTACAAGATCCTAGGGCAGATCCAACGTTGTGCAAATAATTTCGGTCCAGAAACATCATTTCGTTGTAGCTGAAAATTTTGACGACTAGTGAAGTAGGGGTTAGTAGTTTAAACAATCAAACAGATGCCGGATTATTCATTTATGTTGCAGGTGTAAAACACTCGGCGTCAATTTCACCGGCCACATGGTGTACGCTGCAGTGTCAGTAATCGCCATCAACTTGTAATGCCTAGGGACAATGCGGACCGGATACCGTAATGCTACACAATGATGTTGAGAAACTTAAACACAAGCATACATAGCAGATGGAGTACAGCCGCTGACGACGGCGTGTACTTAGAAGTGAACGTAAGCGAATAAGCTCAGAACTGAAACGGCAACTTTAAACAGAGGAAATGAACAGCTCCACAACATAGGTAATGAATCGCACCTGTTTTATTAGCTTAACCATCAATGAAACGCTGTCCTCGAAAGACCGACCGATCATGCGGCCCATGGACTTGTAAATTGTGCTGAGACACAAAAGTGCAGCCAAACGAGTGGTTGTCGACGAAGCACCATCGTCACGGGATCTGAGCATACCATTGCATGTGTTCACTGCAGTATAAAGCAACAGGGTGTCACCAGCGATGAATAACTTAGCCAAGCAACGGCCGATTAAACGATGAGTCGGGGGACTAGATGAGCAGCTCAATTGTGATAAAAGTTGCTGAACTAGATCTTCCTGGATTTCTTGAATATCCTTCTTAGCTTCATGAGGTAGCCTGTTGTCAAGATGTAGTAACCAATCAAAGATGAAGAAAGGTTTCTTCTGATCAGATAATTTTTCAAAATTCGACTCATCAAAGAGCAAAGAACTGAACGGACCCTGCATAAGGGTAGAGTACAAAATGTATGTGAAGTATAACGTCGAGCGTCAGAAGGACGGGAGGCAATTAAGGGATTCCGATGCAGAAGGTAGTATGCGTCCGGTTGTGGATTCCGAGGGCTTCCGTGTCCAGCGTGTACGTAGGCCGTAATAGACCTGGGGAGCTGTAATGGAAAGCAAAAACCTCGTAGGTGGCTGGATGCTCATATCACAATTACCTAGTAAGAGACCACAGTAAACCAGAAATGAATGTAAAGAGGAAGAATCAATGGCGGTCTGCTCGTGATACGACGATCTCCTTAGTTTAGAGGTCACCGAAAAGTCAAGCCTGATTCTGCTACATGTAGACAATGGTCGAAATATCAGGGCGCGAACTAAATTGGAACCATTGCTATAAAAGCGTTGTCCGCTTGCCTTTCAGAGCCGCACACGTGTGCTGTGACGGAAGAGCAGCAAGAAAGAGAAGACTATTAACCTGGCTACGTGTGGCGTAATACAAGTTCCTGTTGCGCTCTTGGACTTCTATTGTGTATGCTACAAAATGGCGACGCTGCCAGGATTGAAAATGCCGAAAACAAGTAAAAGCAACTTTTGCACGTGATGAATGGGGCGATAGAAAATCAACATCTGCTGCGGCTGCTATTTCCAGTACCACTGAAAAGATAGCATTACGAGCTCCGATTTTCCAATGTGGGCCCACGGTTCCGACAGCGGAAAAGTTCCCCATCGGAATACCATAGGGTAGGTGGAAGAAGCAAGCACAACCATTTGCACAACACTTTCCCTCGTCGCAACGTCATGCTGTCCTCTTGAGTTTACTTGTAGCAGAGGCTTTCAACATCGCTGCAGACAGCAGCGTTTTGGAACAGGAAACTACTGCTCGAACCTTTAGTACTTTGCTCATTTAGTAGATCACTCACAGCCGCTTTCGGAACTCCGCCGGTAGCTCCACATTCGTATCATCTTCCGGGAGAAAAGATCAGGACCTTCGTCCGTGAGTTGTGACACCTAGCAGACCGTGCTTATGAAAAAGAAACGGTAGACCAACGCGAACAAAGCGTGTTGGAACAATTACAGGAAGGAATCCAAACACGCTGTGTTAGAAAGCAGTTTATGCTACATCCCCCTGACCGACTGGATACAGCGGTTCAACAAGGCGAAGAGCTGGTGCGAGTTGCTGAGGTCTTGGGAAAACCCAACACGACCGATATGAGATCTAGCTGCTCTGCTCGTAACAAGCAAAAAAGAAATGAGTATACGCCTTGTCCAGAACCGGGTCATCAAGAACAACATGATTCAAGATACATGAGGTCGAGAGCCGATCCGAGTTGAACTGGTGTCCGCAGTTGGAAGACTAACCATCGGGTGAGCCCGCTTATGGAAAAGGGCGTTCAAACAATGTTCGCACCTGGCAGCTACAGGCAAGCCGTTTAGAATCATCATGCAAACTATTGCACAGAAGACCACAGCCAAACGTTGTACACAGTTGTTAAACAAAAACAGTCCGTTTTCAACCCTCAGGTAAGTCATCACATGAGGCTAGTTTCATAGTATCTTCGGTGTGCAGCAAGGTCCAGAAAAATTTCCCGCATACTCCAAATAATGGTGTTTATAGGGTTCCGCTTGTCGGGTTAGTCGATACCGGGGCAAGCAAGAGCCTTTTAAATACTGGGGTACTTAAGCTGCTAAATGGATACATCTATAAACCATGTATATGCCGTTGGATGGCCGTCAAAGGGGAAACACTAATCACGCGATTCCATACGGGTGCAAGTCGTCATCCCTAATAAGAAACTGTAGCATAAGTTTATTGTTGTCGACCACACTCCTTTCGCCGTCATCATTGGAATGGACTTAATAAGTAGACTTAGATGTCAGTTAGACTTGGTGAGATCGCAATTAATCCCCGATACCTGCACTGTCCCGCTTTACTGTCATGAATGCGTTGGTTTTAAGTAGTACAAGGTCCGTGAGGCCTCCGAAGGAATCTCGTGGATAGACAAGCTGATGCAGCCAGAAAAGCCGACTAGTGATGATCTTACCCTGCGGCACTTGGAAGAAATTTTACAGAAACACTCAGACGCTTTTGCATGGGGGCAGGAAATATTGGGCGCACCGCTACTGTGCAGCACACAATCGATACCTGAGGTGTCCACGGAGACGGACTCCAGCTCACTGGCAGCGTGACAGAAAACGACAGATGAAACGCTTAAGAGGAATATGGTCCAACTCTCCACTTTCCCATGGACGTCACCCTTTGTTCTGGTGAAGAAACAAGATAGTGCTCTATAGCTGTGTGTGGATTATAGACGTCTTAATCAGGTAGCGCAGCGGGACGTCTTTCCTCTCCCCAGAATCGACGATTTATTCGATGTACTTAGTGGTTTAACGTGTTTTAGCACATTGGAGCTTGCTTCTGGCTACTGGCAGGTGGAAGTGGCAGAGAGCGACCGAGCGAAAACTGCGTTCGTCGTGCCTTCTGGGTTAGCAAAAGTAACCGCGACATTTTAGCATCTGATGCACTGTATTGTGTTGATTGATTCCACGGAAGTGTTTCCTTTACTTGAACGATGTTATTGTGCATGGGAAAACGAAGCAGGAGCACTTGAACAACCTGACAGAAGGGCTGAAACGTCTAACAGAGGTAGATCACAAACTTAAGTCAACGAAGTGCCACTTACTACCGGAAGAAGTGGTCTATCTCGGATACGTCATCTCGGGGTCAGGTATACGAACAGACCCCCACAAGACGGAACAAGTAAAGTCGTGGCCAATCACTACATACAGTGAGCAGTTACGCAGCTTTCTTGGATTGGCTTCATAGTAAAGGCAATTCATCAAAGGTTTCTCCACCATTGCAACTCCATTGAATGCATTGTTGCAAAAAGGTCGAACGTTTGTGTGGTCAGCCGAATGCCAGGACGCAGTTGATTAGCTCCATGAGTCCCTGTACAGCCCTTATACTAGTGTACCCTGACTAATCACCCTCGTCCGGAAAACTCATTTTGGACACCGATGCGAGTGACCAAGCGACTGGAGCTGTCTTGTCGCAAAAAGATCCTGACGGAATAAAGAGTAGTACCCCTCAGTAGTAGGAACTTCAACTCGAGAGAGAGAAATTATCGCACTACCAGAAAGGAAATGCTAGATTTGGTGATTTCCATAAAACAGAGTCGGTATTATCTACTTGGAAGGAGAGTTTGTACGGACAGACTGTCAGTCCCTCTGATGGCTGCGAAGCATCAGGGATGATAAAGGACAGATCGCACGCTGGCAAGAACAGATATAAGAATCTGATTTGGTATGCAAACAACGGCCATGCAGACAGCATGCTAACGCAGACGCATTGTCTCGAATTAGGCCCAAGGACCACGGGGATTGTTCTTCGTGCAACAAGCAATACCTAGCCATGGTTAACCACCAAAGTGCGGCAACTGGCGCAGGCGAACGATCCAGATATTGGGTTAATTTATGAAAGATGTCTTCGTGGAGGTAACAGGCCAACGAAGGAAAAAGTTGAGGCGCAGCGCCTGTGAGCCATATGGGACAAACTAACTACCGCAGAAGGAGTGTTTATGTTCAATTTCGGCCCAAACTACATGCTCAGAGATGTTAAATAGCCTACACAAATAGTTGGAACACGCGGATGTAGCAGCACAACGGCGTTTCTGGTGGCCACACCAACAGAAAGAACGGTTGCTCCTTTAAACATTCACGATTCCCTAACCGCGTTGCGTTGCAACCTATGAAGGCCGGATATCCAACGATGATGGGTGTGGACATTATAGAACGCTTATCCAAAACATTACGGACACCGCTTTATTTGTTATAGTGGAGTACTTTACCAAGTGTTGCGATGTTGTACCGATCGCACAGGCCGATACAATTACTGTAGCAACAGCAATTGTGAATATCTGAGTTTGTCGTTGTGGAGCACCAGGACATTTACACTCCGGTAGACGTTCCTGTTTTGAGAGCGCATTAGTACAAGAAGTTCGCCGGGTCCTTTGGATAGGCAAGACGGGGACGACTGCACATCACCCCTAAGGGAACGGTCAAGTTGAACGAATTGATCGTTTTGTCAAAGCACTACTGAAAGTCTTTGTAAACCGGAATATTAATGAGTGGGACACCATATTGTTGAAGTGTTTGCTGCCCTACCAAAGTACTGTTCATTCCTCGATTAGACAAACATCCTCCTTAATATAAACTGGACAGGAGTCGCGGCTGCCTTCGGACTTACGCCTCCCCATGACTCGGCAATTACACCCTTCAGTAATGGAGTACGTCAAAGTTACTGGACCCACGCCGACAAGAACAGCAGACTGCGCGGGTGTCTCCGAAAATTGCCCAACGGCACCAAAGAGAGTATTATGGCAAGAACTTCGGCGTCCACCTAAGAGTTTGTGAAGTTGCTTAGCTACGTCCGACACAAAACCAAGGCATGGCTGCAAAATTCCACTGCGAATGGGCTGGCCTCTACGTAGTGGAGTGATGTCCGATAATACGTGTATAGTAAAACGTTGCTATGGTCCGATCAGCCTGCCCATGACGATCCACCTTATTCGTTGCAAGCCGTTCCGACAGCAGGACGAATAAGTCGATAGCGAATTGGCGGAACCACCACCGGAAATATCTGCCCAACTAGTAGTACTCTAGAAAGGGACACCATTAGACATCAAGGACGTTGCTCAATCACTGGCTCATTGGAATTAGAGAGCAGATGGAAAAATCCTTTGTCAGCTTCATCGCCTCCCGTTCGTCACAGGGAAATGCACAATTCAACCCACTTAGTATATGTACCACCGAAGCGAGTACTTACATCTCATCAGATAGCTATTATGCATCGAACCCGGGACCATCAGGATGGTGGTTGTGAACGCTAAGAGGATGTAGAGTAGACAACGAACGAAATATTAGCGCGCGAACTAAATCTGAACCCTTGCTATAACGGCGTTTTCCGCTTGACCTTCAGCGTACCACGCTTGTACTGTGACCGTAGAGCA